ATGTGTGATATAAATTCTACTTTGGAAATTTTATCCTTTGACTCCCCAAATTAATTTCTCTATCATTCTCTCCCTCTCTCATGATGTATTATTTTATTCAGGAGTTGAAATATATTGCGCACCTACGGCAGATGCAAGGGAAACATGGCAGTCATCCATGACCCACATTGCAATTGAAGGGGGATGCTTTGTTCTTTCCGCAAATCAATTCTGCAGAAAGAAACGATTACCCCCCTCCACCTGATTATGTTTTCGGGAACATGGAGGAGGAGCTCCCACCAGACTCTGTTGTTTGTTCAGGAGGCTGTGTGATTATTTCTCCATCTGGTGCTGTGTTGGCTGGACCCAATTATGAATCAGAGGCTCTGATCTCTGCTGATTTAGGTATGACAACCTTGATACACTTACGAGGAAGTATACTGACAATGGAGAACAATAGGTCATTCGGACCATCCCCATCCAGTGTCATGATGGATGGTGTTGGAAAGAGAAATTGGACCCTACAGAGGAAGATGAGATCCTAATGGTGGTCCCACCCTCTCTCTCACCATCCATTATATAGTGGATGGTGATGGTCCCAATAAAATATGATTATTCATAGTCCATTTATATTTTCCATACGATGGTGGAGGAATGCTCCAAATATTGCAAACTTATTATATTCACAAAATTTAAGTAACCTTGATTTTCATAATGAAAAATCTACTTCATCCTGTTTCACTGGCAAAACTGCCATGGCCTCTTTTTGGATGAAATATGTGAAGTCTTTCCTTCCCCTTATGTTTTAAGAGTGATTTCTTTTGTAAAACTGCATTATTCTAAAAAGCCACAAGGCAATCATAATTTGTTCATTTCTAGATTTGGAGGCACGGTTATTTCTTTTCTATTCACCAGTAAAACTAGGTTTCTTACTAATATTGGGGAACCAGAGAAAATTAAGATCTATCTGGACTGGAAAAACAGCAAATCACATAGAAACTATGGCTTACATGGTAAGTAACCTTATTATTTGAAAATAACTTAACATTTATCAACCTTATGCAGTTAAGTTCACATGAATCTCCTATGAGAATTTGTCTTTTAGTATAATGCAAGGTTTAACAAAACGGATTGGTGACTCGAATCGGTCACACCCATACCTGTGTCGAATCAGAGAATCGTGGATCGGATCGGAGAAACGGCGGAATCGGCAATTTTTTGTCCCAAAGTTTTTCAAAAAATCACTATAAATATCTAAAAATAGTGTTCTTTTAGTTTCTCAAATAAATTAGGAGTGATTCATTATGCACTTTTATTACTTTGTAAAAATAGGTGAATAATGAGATGATGTTTTCATGTCTGGATATTTGTATAATTATTAATTATAATATAGTATTATAATATTATATCAAAATAATTTAAAATATTAAAAAACACTTCTACATTATAAGATTAAAAAAATAATTTCCCATATAATATGAAATTAGTATCACATCAAAGTATCAAACATTTATTAATTCGCTTTACTCTTCCAAAATTATCGCAACCTAACTAACTATAATATTATATACTAAAATTGAAAGTGTTGGTTTATATTTTATTATTATTTAACATACAAATAAGAACAAATCTAAAATGTCTTATAATATCATCTAATTTAAAAAAGGACACGGTTTCTATGCGTCTAGTCCGCATATTGTAGAAATGCAGGCTTGGTAATAAATATATGTTTTAAATATAATTTGATCCCTAATTTTTAGAGAATATATAATCTTTAACATGGAGATGGTGAATATGAAAAAAAATAAAATTGAAAACTAGAAATAATAATTATATTAAGAAAACATTTGGACTGTTAGTTACACTTTTTTAGATGGACCGCCTATTTGCATCCATCTTTAAGATAGATGCTTTATACCTCTGGACCGCATATTGTAGAAATGCGGTCCAGCTCGCATGAAACAATTTTCCTTTAAAAAATATTGTTTACAAGTACAAGGGAAAAAATACATTACATAATTTATATTGCAAATAAATTAATAAATATAATCCCAGATTTGGGTGTATAATTATTATTTCTAATAAACGTGATTCAAGAATTTCTATATAACAACTTAATACATTTCAAAGTTATATGAAATTTTTATTGCTATATAAAATAAGTTATTATAATAATAACAAATTAACAATAAATTATTTGTTAATATTTGTAAAAGTTAAAATATATTATTTATAAATACAATCTGGACTAAATATGAAATCTACCATTGAGTTTATTTCTAGAAATGAAAGCATCCAAAGGCCGGCCATCTACCATTAGTCCTCGTATCTAATGGCAACGAAGAGCAACTCCTCTGCAATGGCATTTCAAAAGTAGACAAATGGTGGCTTCCACCGTCAATTGATGAGATTAGCCAGTTTATGTTAGCATAAAATGGACAAAATAACATAGGGGTGGCGATGGGAGAGAGAGAGACAGAATATGGGATTATTTGAAATGGAAGGAATGGGACAATTGTCCTACATCTGGGATTATTTGAAATGGAAGGAATGGGACAATTGTCCTACATCGAAGAGTAAGTAGAAGTTTAAGATTTATAAAAGCACTAACAACTGGCGCATTTGTGCACATGTGGTTTGTAGGCAGTGTTCGCAAAATTAAACCGGAATAGTTAACTGGACATGCGCCTGGAAGCGGTTTAACCGGCTGAACCAATAAACCAGCCGATTGAAATGCTCGAACCGGGCAAGTGCCGGGCAGTCAAACAAGTGATGAAAAAAAAAAAAAACTTCTAAAATATGAAAATCATATAAAGAATGATTAAAACAAAACACATTCAAATGAAGTTGAAAATTAATGAAAAAAATGGATTTTAACCCATTTTATATTTTCCAAGAGCTATGTTTAAAATTTTCTAAAAAAAATGGGAAAATATAAAAGTGGGTATTAATGACCAAAATTTTTTTTAATCTTTTCCATAATGTAAAGAATATTTAAAAATACATTACAAATCAAATTCCTTATTTTTTGAGAATTATATATATATTTTATGATTTTTTTTTTTTTAAATACCAGTTGATCACCCTAACCGTCCAAAATCGGAATCGGCCATTGGCCGGTTCCGATCTAACCGGGCCGTTAGATCGGGCGATTTTGTGAACAATGTTTGTAGGTGAGCAATTGGTGGTTTGCTTTAGTGGTGTAGACGTGTTTGGTGGGGGCACAATTATACCCTTTGTTTGATAAAAAATTCCATAGTCTTCGAATCATGATGCCATCAATCTGAATCGTGAAGTCATCAATTGGATTTCTTGTAGCTAATCGTACGGATCTCATTTTATGGTCGGATCCGGAACAGTCCAGCCGATTCCTGCTTCGGATCGGGTCATCGATTTTTAAAACACTGGTATAATGGGAAGCAATTGTGATATCAAAGCTTTTTTTTTTTTTGGAGTCTTTGTTCTGTTATAGATTTACTCATCTCATCGGTAATGTTTTCACCACTTTATGGAGAATTGGATTTTAAATTTTAAATTATATGAGGACGCCAGTCTAGTGGACTATGGAAAAAACCATCCATTGGGTTCACGGAATGGATGTTGTGGAGAGTGGTGGTACCCACCATTGGTGACCTTCTCTTTTCTGGTGGTCCTCTCTTCTTCAGTCCCATTCCATCATTTCATCGCAATGGGCAGTGTCATCACATATTAACTGGACTTTTAGTATCTTCCATTTTATTTGTCTCTAGTTAAGGAAATTTCTTGGGACTTTATCATAATGACAAACTGTTTTTGGATTCTAATGGTGTAGATTTTGGAGAAATTGTGCGAGCCAAGTTTTATTTTGATGTGGTTGGACATTATGCGAGGCCTGATGTTCTGAGCCTGACTGTGAAGGACTACCCATTGGTGCCTGTCTCATTCGCTTCCAATACCAAAGCTGAAGGGCCAAAAAAGCTGTTATAGTGGCATTTGGTTTTGTAGAATGCCCTTTTTTAGTATATTTTGGCATCCTTAATGTACAATGATGATGCACGTATAAAGCTTCTCTGTTTTTCTTTACTTCTTTTAGTACATTTTATCAACTTTAATGAATGACGATGCATTGCATCTGATGGTTAATGAGCTTTCATTCACTTCACAATGGCATCATGGTCTTAGGGGCTTCTTTGTTGTAGCTTTTCTATCTAGCCCAAAGTTTGTTATATGTAAATTTTATGCCCAGCATTTTCAGTTGAAGATGAGGTAATCCTATTACTGGGAAAGACTTGATGTAAATTACATACCCAACATTTACAATTGAATCTGAGGTGGTTCTATTGCAGGGGAAGGCTTAAATTATTGATGAATTTGTGTCATTGAAATTTGTGTTACTATTAACTTTTGCCTGTTTAGGGCACTGCACAATTGCAGTTGCAGTCTTGGCTGCTCCATTTTTATGTGTTCATATTATTGTTTGTGTTCATATAAATGTCTAGTTCAGTTGAATGTGGCTCTCTCTCCCTCTCTCTCACACACACACACACGATATCTCTCTCTCTCAAACATACAATGTGCATTGTACCATGAGAATTTGAATGTCGGTAATTAGATTCCGTGGTTCTTATCTTCAAATGTGCTCACAGTTTATTGGGGGGACAATCCCATTGGAAAGCAGAAAGGGATCTGTCAAAAGTATAGAAAAGGACGTGTATAGGTATGGAGAGAAAAAAATGAAATGTCCGTACAAAACAGAAAACCCAATTGAATACGTCAAGCCTCATGAGCAGGTCTCCTTCGATTACTCGATATAGTAATTTCCAAGGTCCCAATTGACCACCATTTCCTTGTCTGTCTACTCGCATTGAAATTCTCGAAGTAGGGTTTGTCCTGATATCCACCTCTGTTTCTCTCTCTCTCTCTCTCTCTGCTTCTTTCTGCAGGTCTTGAAAAGATCCAATTCTGGGTTCTGCAGTCGACTAAATGGCTTCCTCCGCAACTTATTTCTTCAAGTCCTGAAAAACCAAATTATGGGGGCTGAAATGGCTTCCTCAGCAATGACAGTAGCTGCACTAATTTTCTCTCTCTTCTCTTTGTCCAACTCAATCAACGTTTTCCCCCTCTCCTCCCATTATAGGTCAATTGGAAGACCATCCCCTCCCTTCCCTTCATCTCTTATTAAACCTGAACTTTTGAAGCCAATTATTAGCTATTCAAGTGAGAAGGTATATTATGAGATTAAGTATTTTACACAGACCTTGGATCATTTCAACTATGTTCCATGGGGCTATGAAACTTTTCAGCAAAGGTATCTCATTAATTCCAAGTACTAGGGTGGCCCCATAGACAAGGCTCCAATCTTTGTGTACACAGGAAATGAAGGGAACATCGAATGGTTTGCACAGAATACAGGCTTCATGTTTGAGCCCTCTTAGTTTTCATTGAGGTAACAAAATCCCTCTCTCTCTCTATCTCTCTCTCGTATCGATCTCTGTCTATCTATATAATTTTTGAAATTCGTGTCGTTCCATCTCTTTTGGTGTGGGTTTTTCAACATAGATATTATGGGGAGTCTATACCTTATGGGAGTGAGGAGATTGCTTATAAGAATGCTTGCACCCATGGGTATCTGAGTTCGGCTCAGGCATTGGCTGATTACGCGATGTTGATCATTGATCTCAAGAAGAATTCGTCTGCCGAAGACTCTCCAGTTGTGGTCATGGGTGGTTCTTATGGTGGAAGTAAGTTTCAGAGAGAGAGGCAGAATTCTGTTGTCATGAGGGATTTATGATAGAGAGATTAAAGCATGTGTTTATTTCATGATTTCCTTTGTAGTGTTGGCTAGATGGTTCAGGTTAAAATATCCACACGTCTGCATTGGAGCTTTGGCATCTTCCACTCCAATTCTAAACTTCGCAGACATTACCTCTCCCTATTCCTTCAATAACATCGTCACCGAAGATTTCAGGGTCTCTCTCTCTTGTTTTAATATGGGTTCATTTTGTTTGCTCCCCTTCCTCTACTAATCTTATTAGATCTGTCGCTCTAATTTGTAATTATGGTCATTCTGTTTGTTGAATAGGGCGAGAGCGAGAACTGTTACAAGGTGATAAAGAATTCATGGCGGAAAATTCATGAAACCGTACAGCAGCCAGGGGGACTTGAAGAGCTTAGAAAGTCTTTCAGAATCTGCCCGTAATATTTTTATTTTTTCTACACCTTTAGCGAAATTTGTCAAATTTAGTTGCTTTGGGCTAAATTCTGTGTGTGTGTGTGAATTTGCAGGAATCACATTAGCAAAGATTCGTTGACAAATTGGTTGGAAAGGGCATTCATATACACGGCCATGACTGATTATCCAGTTCCCTCTAACTTTCTTGCACCCCTACCTGCTTTTCCCATTAAACAAGTATGTTACGTTACCCTACTTTTTCTCTCCGGACTTTTCGTTCGGGGTCTTTTTCGAACTCCAGTTCAATAAACAATGAAAAGGTGTTATCATGATCGAACCAGCTATCCAATTGGTGTGGGGTTCAATTTAGTAAAAAACCAGCCTATTGAAAAAAAAACATTTAGTCAAAACCGGCCCATTAAAAAAAAAAATCTTAAAAGGGTGCGGTTTGTAAGGAGCCGAAGCTCTAAATAATCAACCTGTGTCAAGAAATGCTGTTGCAATACTGAAAATCTTTGTGATAGCCTTAAAATATATTCTTATCTTTAATAATAAAATTTAAAGTTTCATAGATCGAGCAGATCTATGAAACCTTGACAATTTTGAAAATTGACGGTTCAAAAATACATTACAAGATGCGCTATTTCCAAATCTTGAAATCTTATTTTTCTCATGTCCATACATCTTGACGTCGAGATGATATAACTTTGAAAATATTTGGACATTAACACAATGAAATTTTTGTGGTAGGCTCTAATTTGATTGTTTAGATCCTCAGCTCTGGATAAATTTCTTCCAATCTTAAAAACATTATTTACTCTGTGAGATGGATATGATAAGTGTGGGGAATATTTGGGATATTTTTGTGGAAAGGGGGGCAGAGGCTGAGGATTATGTGTAAAATACAGATGTGCAAGGCTGTGGATGATGCGGGAGATGAAGTGTTCAAAGGAATTTATGAAGCTGCCAATATTTTCTACAATTACACAGGAGATTCCATGTGTTTCAATCTCTCTAATAACTCCGACGCACACGGCTTAAATGGATGGGGATTTCAGGTCTCTCTCTTTGAAACCACTTATTAGGATTAGAAGATGATTATTCTAAAAAAAATTTGAAATTTAAGTTGTTAGGATTAGAAGATGATTATTCTAAAAAAAATTTGAAATCTAAAAATTATATGATCATTATTCACGCTTGGGATATTTTTTTTTCAAGTGCATAGAACAATTAGGAATTTTCTTTTTAATAAGTTAATCTATGAGCTGAAGAGGTTACATCCCAAAATTTAAGATCCTAAAATTAAATGTAAATGAGGTACCCGAGGGAGTAAATAGACATCCTCGAGTACAATATCTTTTTGCATTTTCTTGTTCCACCACGGTGAAAGGATTTACAGTGCACTAATGCTAGTTTAAACTATAGAGTGAGTTTAGCATTCTCCTGTGGGATCACACTATACAACAACTCCCTCGGATAAAATAGCTATTTAGCAGTTTTTTATATTCAAACTTTTGAGATCTATCTAACTTTTGAAAGAAAAAAATTTGGATTTTGAGTTCTTTAACATCCATGTTTTCTTCCTCTAGAAATTAGATGGCTCTTGTGCATTTTTTTTATTTAAGGGTGATCATTGGGTTCTAAAGTATACCTCCACAAAATTTAAGATTTAAAAAATGTTCGTAGCATGAAATTTTTCCATGGAGTAGATGGACAATATACTATTGAGGGAGTAGGAAATATTTTCGCTTAACTATCTAATATTTTATCTATATTTTTAAATTTAATTTGAAAATTTCTATCAAAATATATATAATTTTGAATTGGAAGAGTAGAAACATAGTTAAAATATCAAATAGTTGAAAATAAGGTATATTCCTTTGATAAGGAAAAGTCTTCCCAACACCAACCGTGAAATTTGAAGCTAGAAAAGTAGTACAGGCCTTGCACATTTGTGAATACTTATTTTTAAGGCGAAACGAACAATCTAGATAATGTGTTACAATATATACGTTTTCTGGCACTAGAACAACTGTTTTTGGTGAGTTTTGAAGTAAAGTTTTACTTATTTTGATCGGGACGCAACACTATCGAAACATTTTCCTTAAAAAAAATTATCTCTATGTATTATTTTCCTTGCATGTATTTTTTGTGGGGTTATTTTTAAAAAAAAATTATTTTTTTTATTTCTCCCAAAATGCCTCTCAGGAACTCAAGTTCCAAACCAGTGTATTTCCTTTTAGAAAATTGTTTCATGGGGATTGCATTTCTATATTTTCGGTACCCGAGGCATAAAGCATCCATCTTAAAGATGGATGCAAATAGGTGGTCCATATCCTTTCTTTTTTGCCTCATTTTCTGTTTGAAACTTCCAAGTTTTCCACCGAATTTTGTTTACTTATATTTTATAAAAAATTACCCCTTAAAAAGATTGAGTATTCCTAAGAATTTTGTTTACTTCCAAGTAAAAATTTTGCTCTAAATACTATTGTGCTTAAGTCAAGTCGATTAAATGTTGGATCATTTTTAATCAGTAGTTGTTTTGTTTATCACCATTGAGGGTAACATGCCATGGTTATAAATAAATTTGGTTTTCCAAAAAATTTTATGACAGCCATGGCATCTTGGTATCTTGATTGCATGTCTCTCCGTCCTCCAATAAAAGATGATGGTAAAATAATTCTTCGACCAATATTACATGCTCGAAATTCACCATGTAGTACAACATCATGCAATCCTCTGTACATCGCTACTCTAAGTTTACCTTGATTGTTTGCTAAATATCTCAATCTTCCTGTTTCAATTTTCACGTACATATCAATTATATATTGTTGGAACAACCTTCCTGCATGTATTAGCAAATTTCTTTCTTGATGTCGAATTTATAATTTGTAACAGTAATATTCTCTGAATGAAACATATTGTTTTTTCTCAAATTTATCATTTCATATCTTCAATTATTATTTTACCACCCATATTCTCCAAAAGGGAATAGTAAGGGATATTGTAGTGGATCATAGCATCTGTAGCAATCTGGTATTGTTTCTAAGTTGTTTGATCGTGATTGGATTGACTTCATCTTCATTTCCAGTAATCCAAATTGTTGCCACTTATGATGCAGTATGTTTGTTGTGTACTCGTGTCGCAGCCCCACCTCCTACCCCCTGCTGTACATGCTAGAGGGCAACAGGGTGCGGGACTGCGACCAAAGGTAGCAAATGCCACCCAGGTGAGAGTGCACTCAACGCTTTTGAAAAAAAAGAAATCAAAGCAAACCACGAAGGAAAACAAAACTCCAAACACAACCATCAAAAGCTGGGCAAACTAAAACCAAAATATATACAAGAGCTCCAAACTTATTACAAATATGTCTAGGGCATTAGAGGCCCAACAAAATTACATAACACTGAAATAAAACAACTATATGGCCAAACTACCATCTAAGACCTACAATCGAACAGAAGCTTCCTCGTCAAGTTCGGGCTCCAACCGTCACAGGGATCATCCACCCGTCTGTCCTCAAATCGCGAGTTATCACTCTACAATAGAGAAAGTCAAGGGAATGAGTTATGAAGCCCAGTAAGTAGATCAAAGCGCCATGCATTCATGCTTATACACAGTTATTCATAATCGTCCCCAAGATTTATGCAGGTTTTACAACATGGGGGTCATGAATAACAGTCCTTTTTATTAGCAATGTGCCGTGAATAATTTCTTTCATGATGGAGCAAGCACAAATCAGATATCAGATATACATGAGCTAATATTCTATCAAATCTTTCTATTGAAATAATAAATCAATAATTCAAGCAAACAGCTAATAACTACAAGCAATCCTAATGTCATATATTCTCGAAGTAAAAGCTCTATCAATCTAGCCAAGCTAATCTCATTGCTTATGACTTCTATCATTACTCAAGGGGAAGACAATGATAAATGGATGACCCATTTAGTAATTTCTTCACACATACACGATCCCTAGCGCGCTTTGGGGCTTTTGATAGCTGGTGGCTTTACAAGATACGACCCTCATTTACTCTCTAATTGGAGGGCGTTAGACCACCAATGGATGACCCATTGCGTAGTACTAGTTATACATATATTGAGGGCGCGACCTACCCATATGACTCACATCCTAACTCCCTTCCTATCATCGAGAATCAGGGAAGATCTCAGCTACCGGCATAACTTTCGTATCATATCATATCACATTATACTACCAGCAGATGGCCCGTTGCGTAGTGCCTCATATCACATCTGTGGCATGTCTTATTTCAACCATGCACATTCAATATTTCAAAGCATGTCTTATTACAATCATGCACATTCAATAATTCATATGCATGTCTTATTACAACCATGCACATTCAATATTTTAAAGCATGTCTTATCATGCACATTCAATAATACATAGGCCTGTTTTATTACAACCATGCATATTCAATATTTCAAAGCATGTCTTATTACAACCATGCACATTCAATAATTCATAGACATGTCTTATTTCAACCATGCACATTCAATAATTCATAGGCATTCACTATTTCATAGCACAGCAGAAATTCTAATGTGACAGTCTTACCGAAAAATGGGCGTGACTTCCAATCCATAGGAAATTTCGTCATGGTTCCAAAACCATTTTAAAAATATACCCATTCATCTTTCTTTTAGAATTGGTTTGGTCTCATTCTAAGCCATTTTGGTCAGTAAACAATACTACACAAAACATGTGATAGTTTTGGAAAATTCAGCAGAAATTCTAGTATGGTGTCCTTGTAGATAACCAAACATACTTTTCGAATCACAGAGAATTTGATCATGCTTCTCAAACTATATTCAAAATAGATTCATACATCATTCTTTCAGAAATAGTTTGAACTCATTCTGACATAATTTGATCAGTAAACCGTTAAATACAAAAATATGTAAAGTTTTTGGAAAATTTCCTGTGATTACTATAGTGACATCTTTATAGAAAAAATGGCATAATTTCTAAACCACATGGAATTTCTTTTGGATTCTAGGACCATATTAAAAGTAGACTCACTCATCTTTCATTCAAAAGTGGTTTGAGCTGATTCTGACATGATTTGTTTGGTAAATCGTTCAATACAAAAACATATAGAGTTTCTGGAATTTCTTTTCACAATTCTGGCATATTCTAGAAAATAACTCATAACTTTCCAATAAAAAGAGATATTGATATAGGGTCTTTTCCCTTTTAAAATAAACTCAAAGGCCCACAAAATTTCATAATCAATGGAGGTAATTTTAGTACTCAAACAATTACTCAAAGGAGAGTCACAATCCTGAAAAAACGGAGTGCATACTTAACTAAATTTCAGAAGCATCTTTCCACAATCATATACTTATCCTTACTCAATGTTCATGCTAAAACAATTAAGTTGAACATGCATCAAACAAGGCATGAAACATGGGATCTTAAATCCCCTTACATGCACCAAAGACTCCAAGCTTTCCCCCACACAGGCTAAGCTTCCAAAATGGTTTCAAGCTTGAGGTTCTAAGTGTTTTGAAAGGGAGGTCATGGGAGAGAGTGAGAGAGAAAAATTCTTGAGAGGGGTGTGAAGGGAGGTACTTATAAGCAAAGAGGGGGAGGCCGCAGGCAAGTGGCATGCATGGGACACACATGTGTCATACAATGGCATACAAGTGGCATTTAGTGGCATCCAAGTGACATACATGTACCACATGGCACTCATAGAAGTTCCCTGCACAGCCATATACATTCACTCTCGGCAGCAACGCTCACGATGATGTCGTTCTCAGTGGCAACGCATGTGACGGCTTCCTCCTTGGTAGCAACATTCACGGCAGTAACGCCCACGGTAACAACACGTATGGTAGCTTACTCCTTGGCAGCAATGCTCATGGTAGTAACACGCACGGTGGCAACATACACGGCGGTGTCGCGCATGGCGGCATCGCGCACAGCGGTGACGTGCATCTCACTGTCGCGCACCGCGGTGACACGCACAGCATCATCCTAGTCACGCATGGTGACCTCCTTCGTCACACCTCCTTCGTCACACACGGC